CTGCGCTTTTGGGCCGTTCAGGGCCACCAATACCGGTTTCTGTCATCCTTATACCCGGGGCCAGTTCTGGCCACCGGATCCAAAGGGCAACCGGGGGGATCCCTGTAACCTAGGCCCAGACAAGGGAGCCGGTCAAGCTGGCCCTTGAGTTTGGCAGGAAGTTTGGTGGCAAGTGGCAACGGCTATTTTGGGCGTGACCCTTGGCGGCCCCCTTTATTTTGTTTCGCTTCACGCCGAGCTTTTGGCGCGCAACCCAGAACCACAGAGAGGTTCGACACTCCGGCCTTGGTACCGAGTCCTTCCTGGATGAACCCCGACCTTGCTGATCAGTGGTTGCGAGCCCCGGCGTTTCGTTTCAAACAGCGCCTCCCCTGGCTAAACGATAGAGCTCACGTGGGTCTTTGGCCCCCGCCTACTTCCCGGGTCAGCCAACAACCGTGTGGCCAGGTCTGACTTCACAGGCTTCCCCAGTCTGGTTTGAGATCCACAAGATGGGTCAAGGCCAGACCGTTCACTGGTAGAAAACAACCTGTTTGCGATGCCAGCTGCGATGCCAATTTGACACTAATTGATGCCATCACAGTTCCTTTTATGCCATCGCACTCACTGTGATGGCATCAATTTGTGTCAAAAGAGCATCGCAGCTGACATCGCAAACAGGGTGTTTTCTACTGGTGGTTGCTACCACCCTTGAGCCGAGCTCCGGCTGTTTCCAGGAGTACACAAGCTGGGCTCTTTGGGTCGTATGGCAATTTGGCTACACGGAGGGCTTTGTGGATGGTCGCACATCTGAGCCTCCTTCCTTCGATCCGCAACCTCTTTCTGCCATACGCCTACGCTTCGGTCACCATCACTGAGCGGCAAGTCGATCAGCAGCGACTCCAGCAGCTGCATGCCAAACATCGCAGCATCAGCCTCGAGGGATCTTGGCGAGCGCTACAAGCGCAGATTCGCCTCAGCGAGCCCAAAGGGGGATTCGCCACTGAGATGATGGGTGGGACGCTTGGCGCCATCTGAAAGTAGCTTCTGATGCAAGAGGCGAGGCTCACGACCAAGGCTGCCATGGCCAGCCGTGTGGGGCAGTCGGTGGGCAGCGATCGCAACCCCAATTTGAGGGGCCAGCCGGGGAAGAAGGGCAAGCGGGTGGGCTAAGTTCAAGCGGGGCGTCCATCTCTGGGCGCATAGGGGACTTTCCCTACAACCACACTCGTGGACGGCTTTTGGAATGAGGGGGATTGGAGCACCATCACACGTCCTCTGTTGGATCTATTTAGGCGCGCCGCTGCCATGGGGGCCGCAGGGTCCTCCGCCCCATTCGACCTTGGCAAATACATGATCCTTTCGGCAGAGGAGCGAGCGGGGTAAGAGGCCCTCTACGAGGACTACTTGAATATCGGGGAGTACTTGAGTACGCATAGATGCTGGCCTGGCTAAACCTGCTAGTGGGTTTGCAAGTCGTTCTTTTTGTATACGTAGCATGGTAATGGGATCCGGTCAGCTTTGGGAGCTGCTTTGCCAACTGCGACGTTTCCATTCAGCCCCGGCCTTGCTAGCCGATCTGGAGCATAAGCCATCCAAGCTCAACACCATTCCCAATCAGCTGTCATGAGTCAAGGGTGGGAGGACTATTAGCTCCATCCTTCCCTCTTCAAGGCAATTATATAGCAGTTTGGGGTGCGGACAGTGGACTGTTTTTGCCTCCCTTTAGAAGGCCCTCTGCCCTGGCTTCAATTCCAACCACCACAAGCCCCACAGCTCAGGGGTGCACTCATTCACCCAAGACTGGTGGGGGAAGGCTTGGTCTTTGCTTTCTCGCCTCCTGACAGTGCACTTAGAGGTGGAAATGGTTGTCTTGGCTCCAGATTGGCCATCCACAATGTGGTTTCCAAGATCCATTGGATCTCCTTAGGTGAGAGATGTTGCTTCATTGCAAGCAAGGCATGTTCGCACCGGGGGACCTGTTGATCCCGGCCGAGGTTCCTCCCCCTAGGTGGAATCTGCAGGCATTCCACATGAAGCTGAGGAATAGGGAACAAAATCGGGGCTGGTGACACCTGCTTCCTGTCTTGGATCTCTTGTTGCTGGCCCGCTGCCAACGGAAGTCATGCTTCGCGACCAACCCTCTTTTGGTTGTGACATCAGTGGCCTTTCTTCTTCCAATTGGTTCTCGACGCAGACCGAATTCCTGTCCTTCTACATGGAGTCTTTGTGGAAATCGATGCAAGCAAAGTTCTCCAAATTCACATCCCTTTGCGAGGTGAACGACCTAGTGGGGCTTCCCACTCAACCTTCATCAGCCTACCGTTATATCTACTTCTTGCAGGAGGAGGGGCACATGGGGACCTGCAGTCTACCCCAGTATCTAGCTGTCACCTCAATGGTGCACCAGTCGGCCACCTTGAGTTCTCCAGTTTCGATTCAGTCAACAGGTAGCTCACAAAAATGTGGCAACGCCACGGTGGTGCTGGCAAGATCCAGAACCGGCCCATTCCCATTGGCCAGTCCTTGCGGAGGTGATGCGGAACATTCTTGAGGTGGTCTTGTCTGTAGAGGACCTATGGGTGTTATGCGCAGCCTGCTTTGTGACTTTGGACTTCATTTTCCCAACCAGGTGCAGAGCGGACACCTAATTCTGCTCGAGGAACTGTGGCTTGAGAATGACTCCTCGTGTTCTCTAGATGCCCAACCAAATTGACAGCCACCACCAACCTGCGCATGTGCTGCCGCTCCTGGCCATCGTGCGGAGTGCTGGCGGTGGTGGATCTCTTCCTAAATGGTCAGTAGAGTGGGACAAGGCCTGGGCAGACGCCGGAGGTTCTTCTTGGTGAGAAAGATCCCTCCTGGCCAGCCGTCACTGGGTGGTTCCCCGCTCTTCCTTGCACCTTTCCCTTGCTGCCATGGGACTGCTTTGTCCACAGCCTCCGAGCAGATGGCGCCAGTGCTTACATACAGGCGTGGGGGAAGTGGCGCAGTAATGCAATGTGGGAGTACACTGATGTGTACCCGCTGCCGACCGACTGAGGCTACGGGCTGTTTGGTTGGATGACGATTATTGTGCGGGGCCTACACGTGCAGTACGGGCACATTTTCTGCCGCAGAGGGGCATCATTGTTCTGAGTGTGACCAAGGCATGACCACGCCTTCGCTCCAGAGATGCACCATGGTCCACTGTAAATGGGCACATTTCAAGCGGGTCACCAATCGGGTCTTGCATTAGTGAGGTGATGGATATTGTTGCATTTGCGAGTCTAATGTCTTGTCGTGTGGGGAACAAGGGTTGGGTGGGTGGGGGGTATAGCAAAACCAAGGCTCAAACCCCAACGCCGGGCCCAGTGATCAAACTACGTGGACGCCTGAAGGCATGCAACATTGCCTCTGCCAATTGGCACATACACGTTCCCCCACGCTTTGTATGTCGCGCCAAACAATTACTAGTTATGGGAGTGACGTGATTATTTGCGAGTGTTGTGTCACAGCATAAGCATAATAATGTCAGTACTGTGCGGAGTCAGTGTGGTTGTCGCAAGCACGACATTCTGTCGCAACAACTCCCGCACCTCCAGTGCCCTATGCCCGAGCATCGCCCCACGCTCAGAGTTCTCAACAAATTCATGCGTGACATCCTCGCTGGGCACTGCAACCCTATTAGGGAGGATTCTCAAACAGCTGTTGGTCGCGGCATGCTGTGACCCTGACGAAGAAATTCGTGAATTGCTGTCGTGTGTCGGCGACACCCCATGGCACAAAAAGCGTCCTCCTGGAAGTGCCAGGCTGGAACCAGCGAGTTTGATTTACTTGAACTTTTGCAGATTGCGCATCGTCAATTCCAATTGCCTCCTTCGCTCAGTCCCGAAACAGCAGTTCCTGATCGCTAGCACAAGTTCATATCCTTGTCTGTTGTCAGTGCAGCAGTCCTCCAAATCGGCACATGACTGATATTAGCGATCGATTGCTTGACAGGACACACAGACCTGAGCCCCAATTAGAGGCCTCAACACGGTAAGGCAGCAAGGGAACAAAGGGCTGGCGCATTGCTGCCTAGTGTTGATTCCGGATGCACCAGATTTAACGAGCAGGGTGATATGACCAGTAATGGGGACATCGAAAACCGCAGCATGTAAGGGATTCATTATAGAGGCTCCCACACCATTCGCTGTATCCTGATGTCGAATATGATCTGCAACCAATTGCCAAATCCGACACAAGCTTCGAGCCGAAAGATGCGTCGGTCAGTCCGAACAGGTCGCATATCAGCGCTCAAGCAGGCATCTTCATGGACAAGACACGCACCGGCCGTCCGCTCAAAATTCGCCCATTTCGGCAAAACTGCCAATCAATTTCAAACACCGCTGACGCCCATGGCACCCGCCTGCAACAAACGAGCTCGCCTTGGCAGACATTCGAATACTCCCTGGCCCAATCGCGACGATCAATGACTAATCCCCTCCCCCAAAACAATCGACAGATCTCAGCATTTCGTTCATCCCACCGCACGGCCAAGCCCACCCGACCGCGTCCTGCCGCTGTTCAGGGGCACTTCCAAACATTTCTTCATTCTCTTTGCCGATTTTTTTTCTTTTTCTTTTTCCGTGCATTTTCTTTTCTTTGCGTGGCAGCCTCTGCATGTCGAGACTGCTGCGTAGACGGTCGGCTCTTTCGCTGTGGGTCAGTTGCTGTCAATTTTCTGGTGCGAGTCAAAACTGTGGACGCTCAGCTTTCGTCCAACCCGTCGATTCACGATAGTGACTTGGCGCTTGCAGTGCGGTGAGACCGCCATGGCAAACGGGCCGCCATCCACGATTAGTAACGATGCAACCACCTGATGCAACCAATACCCTCGTGTGATCACTAATAGCGTCGTCGCATGATTAGCTACCACCTGCAGTCGTTCTCCCATTGTGATTACTAATAGTGTCATCGCCAATGCTACTGACGGTGCTTTGAATCAGTCCTCCATTTCCTTCACGCAGGACTCGAGACCACTGACCGCAACGATGATGTCATCGGTCATCGTCGCTGTCCTGGCAAAATAGACACCTTCCCAGCACCAGCAGCCCACAGTCCTGGCAGACGGCAACATCCTGCAAGACAGCAAACATTGCAATACACCAACCCAAAAGAACAATTGACATCCATTTATTGAATCTAACAACTTAACATTCTTATTGATAATGAGGCAAAAGTGGCATTCCGTCACCAACACTGGAGGCATGAAGTCGCAGAGGTCCAGAGCATATTGGCAACAGCCTTGCTTTCTCGATGACAGATGTGAACTATTGTTAATAATCAACAATACCAAGGGAAGACACTATGTCGATTTTGGCACGCTTAGCATCAAATTGACACGAAGAAGGGGTGGTTGGGTCCCGACCTGTGATTCTAAGAGATTATGTAACTGCCAGAAAATCGACACAGGGAGGGAAGGTGCCCCAAAACAGCACTGATAAGCAACAAACAACCCGTGACTTGTTCCTAAACCTCGTGCGAGTGTTCGATCTTCAAAGAATGCCTGAGCACAGATCAATTTGCAGACATTGAGGCTGCCTACCTCGCCTACAATGGCATTTGGAATCTCATTATGCAAACCACTGATATCACCACAACTTTGAGTGTTTTTCGTCCTCAAATCCACCTAGAAATTGTATAGTGCTGGCAGGCAACATTGCTGAGTCACCCTTGCATCGATGCAAGGATTGATGCTAAGGAAGGTTGATGCTAAGGAAGGGCGGGCGGGGAGGTGGGGTTGGCAAAATGGCGTTATCACATAACGAGGCGGAAACCCTCTTGTCCCAGCAACATTTCAGGAACTACGGGAAGGAGCCCTGGGGGCAGGGGTGGGGGGTGGGGTCTGAGGTCAGCGTCAAATTGACGCTAAGCGCACCAAAATCGACATAGCGCCTTCCCTAAAAGACAGAATACATTTCTCCCAGTTAATGAATTGCGTTCACTCATTTGGCAGATTAATTTAGGTGGTCACAATCAGGATGTTGTCCTGCACGATCAACAAAACTGGTGAATGAAGTTATTGAGTCATTTGACCAAATAACCAACAGATTCAGGGAAGGATTAAGTTCATCAACTCATCGGTCGAGATTACCAATCAGTCCATTCCATTTCTCGGCAAGGCAAATGGACGGCAATGTGAGCTCACCTCAGGGGCCGGGGCTGGGGCTGTGGGCTAGAGACAGAAAGAAAACAGACCGAGTCACCACATGAACCAATACATTTAAAACCAGCATTCCACACATATATCAGTACTGTGAACAAATGCAGCAATACCAAACGGTGAGCACATGGCACTGTTGCACATCAGCTGACTTGAACAGCAATAAGCAAGATTCGACAACGAGTGGCAAAGCCCTCGCTGAAGCGCACTAAGCGGCAAAACACTGTGCAGTGCTTTGCCAATGCAAACGGTGCGCAAACCAAACCAACAATCTTAAAAAGCACATGTGCATTGCTACAGTGGCAATTAAGTTCTGTATCGAATTTCAAGTCCATGGCATCCAAATAGCACACCTGCAACATTAGAATAACACAAGTTCAAACAATGCAGCAGCGAGTCCAGACTATTAGGATCGTGACAGCACACATTAGCTAGGTAGTCGTAAGTACACGACATAAAACATAACATACTGACTTTGGCACTGCAGTACGGGGTTAAGCACACCAGTACACAGTACAGTACACAGTACACAGTACAGCATACAGTAGGCAGTACACAGTACACACAATACAGTACAGTACACAGTACGCAGTACACAGTACACAGTACGCACTGGTCGAAGGGTAAACGAATGCACATTATCGAACGTCGCACACACCGAATAGCGGCTGCTATTCCCTTTCTGGCGCGAGGGTAGTATATTTTCTGTCTGACAGATACATCAACACAAGATCACAATCTCTACAACTGCTGCAACGCTACTATACCACGTAGTATTACACCATCCTTCCAATAACAGCTTCTACATGCGATGTCCAAGGCAATGATAGATGCATGTTTTATCAACTATCACAATGATTCATGTATATGTGCCAAGGAGAGTTGCCGCCAACCGCTGCCCACCATTGGCGGCGGGCTGGCATCCAGCGGCTTGCCATCCGTTTCCTGGACACCCCACACGACCAAGTCAATAAAAAATCAAACCACTCATCCCATAGTCAACAGAAGTCGGCCTATGTCAATGATAGTGCAACAAGTGAACAGAAGCTAACCCCGCCCCCTTGCCCGACTCTTTTGGCCCCGCAATTGGGTTGCTAGTACATTGTCTGTCACCACGCTGCTCTGTGGTGTGGACATCACCAACCTGGACTTCAGAACGATGAAAAACCAAATCCTTGACCCATTCTCAGTGCACAACACCATTCTGGGCATTATTTTGGGAAAACAAAAGTACAAGTGAAAGGTAATAATGAAAATTCAAGTGAGTAGAAAGGAAAAATCACCACTTGCGGCAAAATTCAGCACTTGAGTACTATACTTTGTGGTCATGTTGCCTGACATGGTACAGCATCCCATCTTCCTTCCTGATAGCCACACCTAATGCCAACTCCTAAAGTACATGAAGCGGTTGTCTGCAAGCTGGCTACTACAGGTGAATCAAAGCACTGGAAGAGTAGCCCAGCACCTGGGGTACTCCGCAATATGTAGGTTAGGTAATGTATTGCTTCAGCCACCTCATATTGTTCTCAACGGTCCACTCCAAGATCAAGCTCACCTGCATGCATGTTGACTATAACAGGCCATATAAAGTGCAGGAACAGCTGCAGAATGTCAGCCCTTAGTTAATTAAACTACTAGACTAGTTGTGGGACGGTTAAAGTACTACGCCAGCTGCTTGGGATGGCACCCAGCATCCGTGCCAATTTCTATAGAAGCTGCCCCAGGAATGAGCTGACCCGCAAGTGCAATGACCAATACATGCGCTGCAAACTACTGGACCAGCAGCAGGCGCGCCAAAGCACCCGACTAGTTGCAGATCAGTGACAGCACTGCACCACCTGTTCAAAGAGGTCAACCAAACTCACTTCGATTTTCTCTGTGATCCACTCCAGGAACGAGCTGACCCGTGTGTACACGCCCGGCCGTGTAGATTCCCCACATTCCTTTCCAAGTTCCCCAAACGATGTGATTCCCACCAGCAAGTCCTCTTTGGGGTCGCCGTTGTCGGGATCGTTGCCCACTTTGTCTGCAACCAGCATCGGCCCCCCGCTGTCACCTGTGGAAAGGAGACCAGGGGCCATGTAGAATCATTCAATCAATCCATCTGCCATGTTTCAAACATTCAATACATCCATCAAGTGGTCTGTCATTCAAACTTATCAATCCAACGATCGATTTATCATTTACGTTGATCATCGTCTGGTCGGTGCTTCCATCCATCGAGCCATCCACAAATCGATGGATCTTCAAATGAAGCCAGTGACCGAGATGCCTGGGAACTGCAAACGAGGGAGTCATGCTCAACTGCACTGACATGCAAAACATTCTGGTGCCCTTTGAGAGCTAAGACACATTGGTTGTGCTGCACAGGGCATTTCACGGTAGTTTGCTGTTGTGCAGCAAATACACGGTAGATTGCCTTCTTCCTTAAACATTGTCAACATGCGACAGCAGCATGGTACATGGAAGATGGCTCAATGAGGAATAGTTTAGTTCGCACTCACAACTCCTTTCCTAAAAAACGTGTACAGCACAAGCACGGCAATCAACATTATATTTCATCTTTGATGACATCTAGTTGCTAGACTAGCAATGGCACAGGAATGTGTGCATGAAATGGCTGTGAGCCTAGGGACCATATCCCTGCCAATTTCTCCTGCTCCAAGTATTGCCTCAAAGCTAAGATTCTAAAATGAAGAAACAGCACCAAGGGAAGAAAACAGCGTTTTGGCCACAGCACTGCCCAGAAATTGAGCTTCCTTCCACTACCCCTTGTCCAACACTCCCATTGAACAAATGACTCACAAAAGCACATCTACCACACTGAAAGCACACAGGACCAACCCCAAACGCCAATCCGAAGAAAGTGCCCAGAACCCGTACTGCACAGAAAAGGTATGACAACAACCCAGGCAAGAGGCTCAAAACTAAATGCACACAGGTAAACAGAACCTCCCGCAAACCCCTATATCATCCTTTCACAGAATGGAAAAGAGCCTCTCATACACTGGCTTACGAGGGGGTGCCCTTTGTACGGCCTGTTTCCTTCTCTCTTTGAAACAAATCTTTACCCCCCAAACCACCTAGACAGGTGTCCAGACCACTGTGCTGTCCAAATGCAGGAAACACACACACACACAAACACACGCACAAAAGAAAGAAACCACACAGAAACAAGCTCACAAAATAAACCCACAAAACTGTGAAACATAATTTGCCCTCCCCCCCCTAAAAAAATGGAAACCCACCCTGAAAAGAACGCACCTGGGCAGGTGTCCTGACCATTTCCCTGTCCAAAGGCACAAACCATGCTCTCCAATATGTCGAGCTCCGGCCACCCGTCCGAGTCCGTGTTGCACAGATTGTTGGGCAGCACCGAGACCTCCGTGGCCTGGTGCAAGTCCTTCGGCAGCACGTTCCCCTCCTGCCTTCCCCAGCCCAGTACCACCACATTGCCCTTCACGGTCACACTGTCGTTGGCCATCGCGACGGGCGCATTTGAGGCGATGTTGTCAAGGATCAGGAGGGCGAT